TGTCACTATGTCGCATAACTCGGCAAACATGGCCTAACATTATTAGGAAGCGCACCGATGAGCTTTGCAAACTCAATAGGAGTAGGTGCAGCTCAGTCATACGCTCCCTTACGGGACACTGGCTAATAGGCACACATGCAAACAGGCTGGGCGCCCCATATAACGACTTCTGTCGAAGCTGTAGAGATGAGGACGAGGAGGAGACTGTGGAACACCTGTTCTGCTCCTGTCCGGCTCTCAGTAGAAGGAGACTGCAATACTTGGGCGCTTCTTTTCTAATTGACATTTCGGACATGTCTACAATCAGTCCCAGACGGATCGCAGGCTTTATAAGGGCATCCGGATGGGATAATGGATAACATAGGGTCTTACGAGGGAGAAGGGAACGCATATGCGGTATCACAACGGGCCGAAACCGGCCTAGGTGTGTCGGGTCTCTGACAATCCCGACAGCCGCTTCAACCTAACCTAACCTAACAATACCTAGCAACGGTAAATACGCTAAGCCCTTTCATCAGCGAAGTAGTTGAACCGTTGATCCCTTTTTCTTTAGAGTACAGACGGAGCTCAGACCCCTCACTAGTTTACCCCAAACAATCCAGGAAGGAAAACTTTAAAAATTAACAAAATAAAGAAACATATACAACGAAAATAGTAGTAGATAACACTACTCGACAAAACCGAACTTTTTTTTTCCTCAAGGATCCAAACCGACTTTTTCTGATAGATATGGGGTTTTAAAATTTTTTAAAGAATTATGGTTTTTTTTCTATGGCAGAACTTTTTTTTGAAGAATTTTTTAAGTCTGGTATTTTTTTTGTAAGCTTTTTTCAGAGGTAGCGCTTGTTTTTTTCACATAACTCTAGAATCTGGTTGTTAAGAACTTTGCTATTTTGAAAAGATAATTAAAACAGCTAGAAGTTAAGCCAAAACACTTTGTGATTACAGCTTACCGTCTGGGAAATATAAAGCATTGAAATGCAAAAATTATGATTTTTGTGCGGTATTTTTTACGAAATTTTGACTTTAAAAACTCAGGAAAAGTCGAAAAAAAATATATCTGTGTCCTCTATCTTTTTGTGTATAGGTGCATTAATTTGGCGTCGTTTAAGGTATCGCTCATAAAAATCTATGGAGAGACTTTGGAGCTAAAATTCGTTAACCAAACTTAAAAAATGAAAAAAATGAACAAAAAATACCTTTTCGATGGTTGCGGGCCCAACTGCCAATTAATTAATGCACCTATACACAAAAAAATAGAGAATTTCATCAGCATAAGTGTATGTACCCTGACGCGGAGACACACACAGACAAGCCCTGCTGGAAATTCAAAACAAACACTTTGGTGTACGAATTAAGGTGTGTGTATGTAAGTCCGAGTACAGTTCCTGATAACTTGGACATAAAACACTGCGATATATTCATATGTGTGCACACATTTAGCAGACAGCGAACATGCCACAAACACGTAGTGGAAAGACAACGTCAAAAAAAGCAAAATCTGATGACAGCAAAGAAAATATGGCTAGTGCAATTAATCTTGGAAACGCCTCCCAGCTTGACCAAACTGTAGTGCATGCATCGACACTGAAGGGGCACGCAGGCTTCTGAGGAGTCCAGAGGGCGACGAGGGCTGTGTGAGCGATTTCGTGGGAAATCGGAAGAAAAAAATACAAGACCGTGGTTCGTTTCAAGGTGTATGTATATTCAGAATGACTTTTCACATTTTTTCCATCCGGTAAATCTTTTACAACTCCCCCGCAAGGTTGATAAAGCCAGGTGAGGCCGTGGCTTGATAATTGGTTAGGGACGCTGGGAGTCGAACGCGAACATCCCGCCGCCCTTGCAATGTATTGCAACTTATGGGGAGTCCAATGCTGCAGAAATTTTTAAGGCCGGCACCCGCCCGACAGCGTCCACCCGAAGACGGTGTGCTGGCAACGGGGAGCCCCTCGGCACTCGGCAGCATTCCATCGCGGATGATGTCACCATACACGTCCGCTCCCAGAATGAGAGCCACAGTGGCCGGGCGATGAAAATTGTCGTCTGCCAATGTGAGGTGATCAAATTTGCTCCGTATGCGATCACCGATGGACGCGGAAGGAGTGCGCAGATGCAGTTTCGGGTCCACTTGGAACACGACCTCCAACAGGAAGTCCGGGGACATCGGTGACCGGAGCACTGCTGCACAGGCTTCTTCATCACCGATCATGGACGTGCTCAAATGAAAAGCCTTGGCAAGCGACGCGTTGATCACTGAAATGGGGCGGCAGGGGTCGATCAACGCCCTGGTCTCATAGGTGGTGGTCCCGTTGTCGACGGTGACGCTTGCGGTCGGTAGTACCTGCGGGTTGCGGTGCTGCAGCAGTGTGGAGCAGCAGAGTTGGAGGTCGGCTGGAGGAGGATGCCGACGTCCTCGGATGAGTAGGCCGTCGATCAGTCGGTGTGTCCCGCGTTCGAGGTCGGCGGGAGGCGGAGGACGCCGTCGTCGGAGCTCGAGGTCCAGCTGGTGAGGACGGTGTGGGGTGACGACGATCTGTGTCCGGAATATGCAGTAGGGTGTGGTGGTGCTTGTGGCACTGCCGGCAACGGTCTCCGCTGCGGCAGTCGCGTCCCGAGTGCTAAGCAGTCGGGGCAGTACTGATTAATGAGTGCCGCCCGCAACCGCTTTTCAGCGCTTAGCCGCAGGAACCGCCCGCACTTCCTAAGAGGATGGACGCCTCGGTAGACTCGGCAGCGGTAGGACATGGTACCTCGGGTACGTCTGCTATCGTGGGCTTGATCCTCGGTGCTTCTGCGTTGGGTGCGTGTAGGCTGATGGGGTGCCATGATGAGACCGTGGCGTCGGAAATCGGAAGTGAGGATTAATAAATATGTGCAGGAGAGTTGTACTTAAGCCTAAGGAGAAGAAGGCGGATACTTATGGATCGGATCCTACGCGGGAGTAGGTGGACTGGATCTCCGACTCCATAGGCAGCAGGACGACCTTGGTAATCGGTCTTTTGATAAGGCCTCGGACCGTGGTAAGGTCTATCACACGGACCTTATCATCGGGCCCAGGGTACGTTTTTTGTACCCGTCCGAGACGCCATTCATGAGAGGGGATGTTATCCTCCTTGTCGATCGAGCCGGATATTTATATTCATTCAACAGGTACGACACAACATTAAATGGTCGATCGAGCCGGATATTTATATTAGTTCAACAGGTACGACACAACATTAAATGGTCGATCGAGCCAGATATTTATATTCATTCAACAGGTACGACACAACATTAAATGGTCCTTCGAAGCCAACGGAACGGCACATGGAAAATACAGAAGCTTTTTCACAACCAGAATTTCATCAGCATAAGTGTATGTACCCTGACGCAGAGACACACACAGACAAGCCCTGCTGGAAATTCAAAACAAACACTTTGGTGTACGAATTAAGGTGTGTGTATGTAAGTCCGAGTACAGTTCCTGATAACTTTTCACATAAAACACTGCCATATTTTTATTTGGGTTAAATTTTTTTTCACCACCCAACCCCCCCCCCCACCCCTTTGGGAAAACCCCCCAAAAAAAAAAAAACTTTTTTCACCAAAAAAAAAAATGTTTGTTCTATTCCTCTTCCCTTCCCCTCCCCCCCCTCCCTCCCCCCGTTTTCCCCCCCTCCCCCCCCCCCCCCGCCTCTTTTGTTTTTTTTTGGTGGGGGGGGGGGGGGGGGGGGGGAAATCGGAAGAAAAAATAACAAGACCGTGGTTCGTTTCAAGGTGTATGTATATTCAGAATGACTTTTCACATTTTTTCCATCCGGTAAATCTTTTTTCCAACTCCCCCGCAAGGTTGATAAAGCCAGGTGAGGCCGTGGCTTGATAATTGGTTAGGGACGCTGGGAGTCGAACGCGAACATCCCGCCGCCCTTGCAATGTATTGCAACTTATGGGGAGTCCAATGCTGCAGAAATTTTTAAGGCCGGCACCCGCCCGACAGCGTCCACCCGAAGACGGTGTGCTGGGCAACGGGGAGCCCCTCGGCACTCGGCAGCATTCCATCGCGGATGATGTCACCATACACGTCCGCTCCCAGAATGAGAGCCACAGTGGCCGGGCGATGAAAATTGTCGTCTGCCAACGTGAGGTGATCAAATTTGCTCCGTATGCGATCACCGATGGACGCGGAAGGAGTGCGCAGATGCAGTTTCGGGTCCACTTGGAACACGACCTCCAACAGGAAGTCCGGGGACATCGGTGACCGGAGCACTGCTGCACAGGCTTCTTCATCACCGATCATGGACGTGCTCAAATGAAAAGCCTTGGCAAGCGACGCGTTGATCACTGACATGGGGCGGCAGGGGTCGATCAACGCCCTGGTGTCATAGGTGGTGGTCCCGTTGTCGACGGTGACGCTTGCAGTCGGTAGTACCTGCGGGTTGCGGTGCTGCTGCAGTGTGGTCAGAGTTGGAGGTCGGCTGGAGGAGGATTCCGACGTCCTCGGATGAGTAGGCCGTCGATCAGTCGGTGTGTCCCGCGTTCGAGGTCGGCGGGAGGCGGGGGATGCTGTCGTCGGAGCTCGAGGTCCAGCTGGTGAGGACGGTGTGACTGGTGTGGGGCGACGACGATCTGTGTCCGGAATATGCAGTAGGGTGTAGTGGTGCTTGTGGCACTGCCGGCAACGGTCTCCGCTGCGGCAGTCGCGTCCCGAGTGCTCGTGGGCTAAGCAGTTGGGGCAGTATTGATTGATGAGTGCCGCCCGCAACCGCTTTTCAGCGCTTAGCCGCAGGAACCGCCCGCACTTCCTAAGAGGATGGACGCCTCGGCAGACTCGGCAGCGGTAGGACATGGTACCTCGGGTACGTCTGCTATCGTGGGCTTGATCCTCGGTGCTTCTGCGTTGGGTGCGTGTGGGCTGATGGGGTGCCATGATGAGACCGTGGCTGCGGAAATCGGAAGTGATGATTAATAAATATGTGCAGGATAGTTGTACTTAAGCCTAAGGTGAAGAAGGCGGATACTTATGGATCGGATCCTACGCGGGAGTAGGTGGACTGGATCTCCGACTCCATAGGCAGCAGGACGACCTTGGTAATCGGTCTTTTGATAAGGCCTCGGACCGTGGTAAGGTCTATCACACGGACCTTATCATCGGGCCCAGGGTACGTTTTTTGTACCCGTCCGAGACGCCATTCATGAGAGGGGATGTTATCCTCCTTGATAACAACGAGGTCTCCCACCTCTAGGTCTCTTGTTGGATGCTGCCATTTGGTTCGCTTGTGCAACTCTCGTAGGTACTCCGTCTTCCAGCGCGAACAGAATTGCTGGTTTAGAGCCTGGAGATGTTGCCAGCGGTTCAGGATGGAGGAGGCGCTCTCTTTGATTTCAGGCTCCGCCACGGAGAGTAGCGGCCCGCCGATCAGGAAGTGACCTGGGCTTAGAGCCAGCGGGTCATTTGGGTCCTCGGACATAGGAGAGATCGGTCGAGAGTTAAGGCAGGCCTCATTTTTGGAGAGTAAGGTGGCGAACTCCTCCAATGTATATTTGGCCGTATACATCGACCGTTGGAACAGAGTCTTGAAACTCTTCACGCCTGCTTCCCAAAGGCCACCCATGTGTGGGGCTCCCGGAGGGATGAACCGCCACGATAAGCCCTGCTGACTGTACACCGCAGAAGTCCAAGTTCGGATGGCCTCGAGAAGGTCAACAGCCAGAGCACGAGATGCGCCGACGAAATTACTGCCGTTGTCGGATTGGACCTCGTGAGGGCACCCTCGTCTCGCGACAAAAAGAGTGAAAGCGGCTAGGAAGGTGTCAGTGGATAAGTCGGACGTGGCCTTTAGGTGGATGGCTTTCGTGGTAAAACACCGCCTTTACTACGTGACGTAGTCGAGGGATCCAGTACGTTGCGCGGAGAAGACGAATGACCAGCTGGTTTTCACCATGGAGGACTATGTGATGAGTGAAACGCACCAGCAGGCGAACGAGGAGGGATGCGGGTGGCAGTAGGATTGGATGTTTCTCGTTGTAGGACATGGAAGCGGAGGCTTGGATTCGGCCACAAGCTCGCATGACACCGTTCTAGTCAATGAATGGATTGAGATTCCGTAGGGAACTCGAGGCAGAGAGAGGACGTTTGGTTGCAAGGCACCGATGTTCGTCCGCATAGTGCATGCCCTGCGTAGCGATGGTAACGGCTTGCAGTGCGGTCGCTATCTCTGCCCCGCTTGGCTCCTTGGAAATGTGGACTGACCCTCCTCTGCATCGTTGGATGAATCGCTGCACATAGGTAAGCACGCGCAAAGCTCGCCCGAGATCCGAGAACCGGCTGAGGATGTCAGAAGATGTGCTACTTGCATGCAGCACCTTGACTGCTCGCTTCTCCAAGTCAGTCTCCGGGAATGGGTCCAGTGGACACGGCCACTGTGACTGCGGAAGGCGCAGCCAGGCAGGACCATGCCACCACATGTCGTTCCCCGCGAGGTCGATGGGTCCCATACCTCGGCTGGCTAGGTCGGCAGGTTGTCTCGATCGCATACTCCATAGCTCGCCGGGTTGAGCGCGTATCTGGCGACTCGATTGCCCACGAACGTGGTCCATTCGCACGCTGGCTTATGCAGCCAGGCCAGCACAATGGTAGAGTCGGTCCAGAAGGACACCTGGCTAGTGTCTAGCGGCATCTGTGGAAGGATGGCAGCGGACAATTCTGCCAGAAGGACCGCTCCGCACAGCTCAAGTCGAGGCAAGGATATCGTCTTCACGGGGGCCACGCGAGTCTTAGCTGTCAGGAGAGAGCAGAATATGCCATGCGGCCGCTCCACTCGGACGTAGATCGCCGCACCGTAGGCACGCTGAGACGCGTCGCAGAAGCCATGAATCTGCACCTTCGCAGTCGGACAGACGTGGATCCACCTTGGTATGTGGATCTGCTGGATGGTCGGAAAACTCTGCAGGAAGGTCTCCCACGTTTGACGCAGATCGCCAGGAAGGTCATCGTCCCAACCTAACTCTCGTAACCACACTTCCTGCATGAACATCTTAGCTTGGATGACAAAGGGGGCAAGCCATCCCGCTGGATCAAACAGCTTCGCAATCTGGGACAGCACATTGCGTTTCGTGCAGGCCTCCCGATGAATTAATTCGGGAGGGACGAAGAAAAACTCGTCGGCACTCGCTTGCCATCGGATACCCAAGGTCTTTGCGATACTGCTTTCTTCGAGCTCGAGGAAATCAGCTCGCAGTAAGTGCTCGAGAGGGATGTCGCTCAGCACGCCCTTCTGATTTGCGGTCCATTTTCGGAGTGGAAAGCCGGCGGAATCGAGTGCTTCTCGCAACTCGGCGATGGCGGAAATTGCCTGAGGCTGGGTATGTGCACCAGCTAGAACGTCGTCTACGTACATGTAATTGGCCAGGATGTCGCTTGCCATTGGGAACCGAGGATGCACTTCATGTGCAAGTTGCCTTAGGACGCGAATGGCGAGAAATGGCGCGCAGTTGACTCCGAAGGTGACCGTATCGAGTTCATAGTCGCACACGTCCCCGTTAGGATTGCGAAAGATTATCCGTTGGTAGGGAGTGTGTTGTGGCGCCACGAGGATCTGCCGATACATCTTATTGATGTCGGCGTTGAAAACGTAACGGAATACGCGCCACTTAAGGATTTGCGTGGTCAAGTCGGACTGAAGGACTGGCCCTGAATGCAATACGTCATTAAGGCTTCTTCCGTTCGAAGACGGGCTGGACGCGTTGAAGACCACGCGCACCTTGGTCGTTGTGCTTTCTGGCTTGAAAACGGCATGGTGTGGAAGATAGAAATGGCCAGAGTCATGACTAGGTGGAACCTGTTTCATGTGGCCTAGCTCTAAATACTCGTGAATGACATCGTCGTACTGCTTCTTGAGAGGCAAGTTTCGCTGCAGACGCTGCTCGTTTCTCAGAAACTGGGCGTGGGCCGAAGGCCTCGAGTAGCCCAAGTCTATCTTTTCTGGACATTTGAATGGAAGAGTGACGATGTATCTCCCGTCGGGAGCTCGCTGCGTGGTCTGGAGAAAATTGTCCTCGCAAATGGAGTCTGACTCGCTCGTAGGTCTCCCTGGAAGGTCCTCCACCTCCCAAAACCTTGTGAGAAGTTTCTCGAGTCGGACGTCAGAGCTGACCGAGATCTTCGTGGTGAAGGAAGAGATGATTCGAGACGAGTCAGCTGCGACAGGACCGGATAGGACCCATCCGAAGATAGTCTCTTGGCCCAAGAGCGAGCCACAAATGTTGGACCGGAAGCCGCTTAAAAGGATGGATGGAAGGATATCAGCGCCTATGAGCACGTCTATCTGCGCGCTGCGATGAAAGGAGGGATCCGCTAAATGGAGGTTAGGAAGGTCTGTCATGTAGTTCTGCGGTACAGGGTATGACGGGAGGTTACCCGCCAATTGCGGAAGAACGTACGCCGTGGTCTCAACCTGGAGGCCGGGCCTTAAGGCGGAGCCGATCGTGAAGTGGCAGAGTTTCTGGGCCTTGGCCGCTACCGTTTGACTCAAACCGGAGACTTGAGCCTGGACGGCTTGGAAGGGGGGCCGAATGATTTTGAACATCCGCTCAGTAATAAAGGTGGCCTCAGATCCGGAGTCGATCAGGGCTCTAGCCTTGTATCTTGTGCCGGCATGACAAATGTCCACTATTGCTGTGCCCAGTAGCACCTGGTGGACATTTGTAGAACAATAGCTCTGGACATGGGCCGAGTCGTTGGACGAAGGAAGAGAAGAGGAAGTGGACTGTATGGTGGTAGGGGCTTGTGTGGTGTGAGGACTGGGAGCACAGTTGGAGCCACTCGGAGTCTGCTCGCCCCGATGAAGGAGGGTGTGGTGTCGTCCATTGCACGTACTGCAGTTGTACGCGCTGGTGCAGTCCCGGAGTTGGTGTCCTCTCGCGAAGCAGTTTAAGCAGAGTTGTTTCTGCTGAATGTAGCTTGACCGTTCCTGTACGGTCAGGCGAAGAAATTCTGGGCATGATCGCACCGGATGATAACTCCGGGAACAGAGGTCGCAAGTGCGCGCCTTGCTGGAGATTCTCCCCTCAAAGGAGTTGACTCGTCGAGGCGCAGGAGTGGGAAGGCTTGTACGGGAATTGTAGTGCGTCTCGATGCCTGGATGACCGTCCTCTGTCGCCTCGAGAGAGAGGTATCTCTCCCCTAAGAACTTGTTCATGGCGCGCCAAGTCGGAACCTCGAATTTGTTCGGAACCGATTGTTCCCAAAGCTCCACGGTCGCCTTTGGCAACTTCGCGGTAATGAGGTACACCAGCACGCCATCTGCAAAGCAGCTGTCGGTGGACACCTCGGAGTGCTGAAGGGTCGTAAGGCATTTGTGGACAGACCTCTGGAGCTCCTTTAAGGCGGCTCCAGATTCAGTTCGGATGGAAGGCAAGCTGAAAAGGATCTTTAGCTGGGCCTTGAGTATCAGCCTTTTATTTTGGAAACGCTCACGAAGGTTGTTCCAGGCAGAATCAAACCCTTCATTCGTGAGCGGGGCCTGTGCCACTATGTCGTGGGCTTCACCGCTCGTTTACTGGTTGAGGTGGTATAATTTTTCCAACGGAATCAACCTGGCGTTGTTTATGTAGATGGCGGTGAATAGGTCTCGGAACGTGGGCCACTGCTGGTAGTTAGACATTTGCACCTGGACGGCTGGTTGCGCGGTCGGAATGACAGTTGGTGGCTGGAGCTGGTCGTTGAGTTCAGCTAAACTTTGCTCGTACACCGCGTAGCAGTCATCGTACATATCTTGGACCTCAACTTGACCATCTGGATCCTCTGTTGCTAGAAGGGCAGAACAGGCTCGATACTCCGATTCGACCTCCAACCACATGCCTCGGATCTGTTCCCGGCGGACTTGAGAAAGAGAGGTGGTTTCTGGTCAAAGTGAGTGAGCCGGCCTGTAGCCAAAGCAAACCTAGACCGTGCAGAGCTGGCGGCAGATTGGGCCATTGTTCCTGGAACCGTGACCGTGGATGGTGAGGGACACAACAGGGTGTCGAATATGGACTGGCAAACCTTGGAAGTGGTCGGACCTCGCGAGCGTGAGGGCGAACGAGAAGAAGTGGGTGTAGTAACTGCTGCGGAAGAGCTGGGCGGCTTTGCGTCATTCTGTGAGCTTACACGCTTTAGTTTTTTGCTGACTTTCTTTCCACCAGAAGGCATACTCGGCTGATGGATCTGTTATGGGTAGAGCTCGCAATTCCTGTGGTACACGGAGGGCAGAGTGCACAGGCGGAAGTTGAAATCGGAATGATACTCGTCGCACACGTAGTTCAGAGGAATTTAAATATTTTAATATTTATTTGCGCACTCGTTGGATGATTTTGTTGTCAGAAGGAAATTTATTAATTACCAAAAATAGAATTATTAATGAAAACTTAATAGTTCTCGACAATCACCACTTCTTAATAACAACCGCGATCAATGATAATTATTAACTACATGAGCGGCCTCAGCCTTGCTGAGGTGACAAAACTAAAAACACGAGTACCCCCAACATGTATACATTTATCGATTTTGGAACTATCGATCTCGAACTAAAATGTAAACAACACCAACAATGCGTATCTGCGTATTTATTCGGGATAAACGTTATATATTGTACGCCGGTGCCATGTTCGGACATAAAATATTTAATGGTGTATTTTATATATGCGAGCAGATGGTAGTGGGCTGCGTGCGTTTGGGGTGTATTAATTGTTATATTTTCCTTGTATGATTTGTTTTGTGGGACGGATTGTGTGCACATACGTATACGTACTGCACCTGTGGAATGCGACGAGTTACGGTACATGTATGTATGGGGCCGTTGGGGGAGAAACCGCTTGGAAGGTTGGGAGAGGAGGCCAATGGAGTAGGCAGCATGAGTGTTTTAAGCAATTAAGAGCGAGAACAGGCGTTGGAGTGCCTCTATGGGGTGCCGGAGTTGGCGGAAAATGGGACTTAGGTGGTATGTACATACATATACTTGGATTTTGGAGATGCGGATGACGGACGGAGTGTCTTAGAATGAGCGAAGCTTGTACTTAGCTTGGAGTCCGGT